CTGAAAACTCTTGACTCAGGGTAGAACAGTTATCACTAAACTTTCAGGAAAAAAGGGAATTAGTAGGGAGATTACATGTAGCTCAGTTTTACATAATGTTCCCAGAGAGGAAGAACTAGCTCAGATACTACAAGTCTGTATTCTAAAAAGAAGTTTTTCGATATAGAAAATACTACTTCTAGTGTACAAAAAGAAAAGCTGTAGCTCTGGATTTCCAAGCGTAAAAACAGATACTAAGAAATATTGAAAATGAATGAAATTATATTCTCATCCTGCCTATGAGTACTTGAATTCAGGAAAATAAGAGTTGTCTGTTACCAGGCAAGCTTTTTTAACTACCTTGTAAATCTGAAGAAATAAAAAAACTTAAGAAAATACCAGAATAAACCTCAGACTTTGGAGACTTGATTTCTGCTTTTGTTTACTGTACAGAAAATGATGCTCACTGGCACAGAAACTATGGAATATTTTGTTCTTTTCTCCTTTAACATACTACTAAATACACAGTTCACATTCTCTCATGAAAGACTAACTTCCTTCTGCTTTTTAGAGGCAATCTAAGCATGTAACTGTTTCATAAACTTGAATTATCTCCTAGACCACTCTATAAAGAATACAGGGGGAGAGGATGTATAAAGTCTACTGTAGAAATAGTCCACTGATTTCAGGTGCCTGAGTTTTCAGAATACTTTGCTTTACACACATTTACTGCAATGATGAAATTCATTGCATGCTTTAGAGGTCAGATATTCCAGAGGTACCCATCTAATGATGAACTGATAATTACCAAGTAAGACTGTAATGTATGCTTTGAGTTGCTCAGTATCACAAGAGCACAACACAAGGGAGGCAGGAATGGAATCCCAAGGTCTGGCACTGCATCGAGCTGTCATAAGCAGGAAACCCTCCTCTTCCTTTCTATGAGTCCATTTACCATGATCTTCCTGTTGTGCAAAACTGAGACAGGCCCTAGAACAGAGGTCCTGTCTGAAAAGTTAAAGCGCTTTTACTGTTTTGATGTGACTCACCAACACAGCAGAGATGAACATAATATAGAAGTCCAGTGGAAAAGATAGCATGTTACCATCTAATTAAAGATTGTAAGTTGCTCCTAGCTTGCTTTTAGCTTGCTCCTTGGCTCCTGACTGCTTCAGTTATCTTTCTCCTAGACAAGGCCCACAAGCACCTCTACAAACTGCTGAATGTGGTGGATTGCTCTCAACATAATATGGAGACCGCACAAAGATTGGCACTTCTGCAATACACAATACTCCAAAACTACTTAAACTTTGCACTGCCAAAATGCTGCTCTAGCCTTTGTGCTCTGCTTCATGACATTCAACACACATCCTCAAAGTCACAATAAAGAAACATCACTTTGGTGGGCTGTAATGCAGTTCTCTTTTTTTTTTTTTTTTAATTATTTGATTTAAAAATCACACATCAAGTAATAACTACATTTTCAGAGTCACAGACACGGTCAAGTGGTATGTCATGCAGATACAGTCTGATTTAGACTTAAGTAGTGTGGAGGGGACATGAGCTAGCCTGTAACACTGCCTCAAAGAATAGTCCCTGCTCAACTTGTCCCTGTTTCACAGAACAGCTACAACTACAGAAAACAACTTAAGATGGCTTCTAAATACTTGCAAATTTGATGTTCTTTTAAAACAGCTTTTTAAGTGTTACATACACCTAGACAAAAAGACGTAACATTAAAAACCAGACATGTTCAGAGATGGACAGAAGTTAAACATGTTGATTAGAACTTAGATGTGCCTACAGCTTTGATATAAAGCCTATGCTTGATACAAAAGTATATCTGGCTCTATGTCATCTAGAGCTTTCCTGGATCAAGATGGAATATCATACGATCAAACTTTGATCAGTCCATGCACTACAGACGAGCTACACCAACTACAATAAGAGTCAGGAAAATGTTGATGATGCCTTCAACTTATGCACAGTCTGTCACAAAGCCACTACATTATTTTTTTAAGCCATAAATAAAAAATAACTTCTGTACTAGTATTCCTCACACATGCTTATTGTCCTTTTTTTACTCTCTTTAATACAGAAATTCTTTAACTGTTCAATATTTTGTTATCCTTTGATGTAGAGCAAAATATCTCTTCTAAAGACAGAGTTCAAGTATACAGAACTTCAATAAAGGACTTCATAACGAATCCTAAATAAATAAACAAAGCCATGCAGTGGTTTCATTTCTAAGTTTTCTCAACACTTCATATTTATATTAGCCAAATTTTCCAGTTATGGTCTCTGTCTCTACAACCTTTGTCTCCTTTTTCTTTTTCCCTGACTCAGGTCCTTCTTAGAATCGTGTCTTCTTTTGGCATACAGTGGAAGGTGTTTCATAAACTGGAGGGAATAACAAAGCAGATACAGTTTTTAACATGAACTATAGCCACAATGGAATATTTATTCCCTGAGCACAGAGCTCAGTGAGAATACGTGACCACAGTATATCCTCATGCTAAGCCAAAAGAAAGGATGGAAAAGTGCTTGGTTTAGCCACCATAAGTTACTGAAGAAAATCTTCCCCCACACCCTGAAATGTTTCAAATTAATAAATGTACGTAGTTTTCAGGGATTCACAAATCATCTCTTAGGAGTCAATTAATCAAGTAAAAATGTTTTAATCTAGACAAGTGCCTACTCCTTCAGAGCCAATTATTTTTTCCATTGTATACTGTCGAATCTGTGAAGTGACAATGACCTGCATGAGAGAAAATGTGACATGGCTAAAATCTTGTCTCTACCTACATCAATAGCAGTTTTCCCATGACTTCCCAAAAGATCATTAACTCATTGACACCATAAAAATATGATACAGCAGCACTTGTAAGATTCTGATACTTGGAACTGTATTTTGCTATGAGCTAGGCACTTCCCCTCTTTATACTTCTTCTTGAAAATGTTCCTTTTCCCATTAGACTCACCATTACTAAAATAACAGCTAAAGGGGCAATCTGTCACCCATCCAACAAATGAACTACAAAAATACTGGGGAAAGCTGTCACCTTCCTTTATCTTGTTTCAGGACTATTTAGCATGACAGGAGAGAATTTGTGCTGTCATTTGTGTATTACATAAGGCTTAGCAAACAGCTTTATTTAATCAGCAAAAAACTAGTAACAGCCACAGCAGGTTCCAGCAGAAAGATGAGTCAAGATGGTTCTAAACATTAATACCTCCAGTAGCCAGAAAAATAAAAGGACAAGTATTTGATCCAAAGGTTCTTTAAAAAATATATGGTGTCTTGCTACGGACAGTGCACCTCGCTGTAGAAAACTGAAATTCTGAGGTGGCTTTAAAGCGCTCTCCTTTATCTTCTGAACCTCAGGTATGTTGGGGAGATGATGTCTCAGTCTCCAGAGAGAAGAAAGATACTGTTCACACAGCACTTCTACTCACCAGTCCTTGCAGCAGCAACGGTGTTGGCTTTGAAGGAAGCCAACTGTCCTGCTCTCCCAGCCAGATGTAAAGAATTGCATTGGTGGCCACTAGAGGGAGGATTAGGAATATAGTAAATTGTGGGCAAAAGGCACCCATGATGAACCACATGGGACAACCTACACATCCCCCACCACGGCCAAAGGTCAGTAATTCTCAGATACTCTTACGGGCTGGGTAGTATAATCCAGTTGTTATCATCTGTTACAGAGGAGATGCCAATACGCATCCTAAACTTTGATGCCTGGAGGATAGGAGGGCTGACTAGGATCATGTGAAGCGTACCTACAAACACACAAAGACACATTTCCTTTATTTACAGTTGCCTTATTTGCCTTCTGGTTTTTAATCTCCTTAGTTAAAATCTCTGATGTCCTTTATCAAGAAAGCTCCCATGAAAAGCAAACACACCGACTTCAAGAGAATCTCAGAAGCAGCGTCAGCAGAGAGACACACTGTGCCAAGATACATGGTATTTGACAAAAACATCTGAACATATTAAGTGTACTTGAAAACAACAAAATCATTTGTGATAAATGTTCTTTCACTAAATTAAGGTTTGAGGCATGTCTGAAAGAAATGTTTTCAATTAGTTACCTAATTACCTAATTAGATAATTACACAGTAAAGTATATCCTGCAATTCAGTTTACCCTGTAGCTTGACTGCCTGGTGTCTTACCTCCAGCACAAGTGGCAGAACATTCCGACCAAGGCAGATGATTCCATGCAAAGCCAACTTCATTGTCTCCACTGCCAGTGCGAGAGATGGGAACATTGAATTTATACCTTATACCCAAATTTTGTTCCTGTAGCAGAATCTGTAGTTGAAAACAACTGGTTATACCATTAAAACAGGCAAGCAGAGGGCAACTACAGTGACATTTAATCTACGTGTGTGTTATGTCCTATGGAAGGGAAAAAAGTAATAAAGGAAACCATAGCAGTTTTTTCAGGTATTCCCAAAATAATCTGGACTAATTTTTAAAACATATTTAAAAAAAAGTATTATTGTCTAAAGTGAGCTGTCTTTTTTTCCCCCTTAACACAACTTTATAACTTCTGTCAGTTCTTTTTTCTTGACATAATTGTTCTAAAAAGCCAGTCTTCACAAAATTAATGTCTTAACAGAAATTAACTTGACAGTTGAATAATCATGTGAGGTCAAAGTTGGATAAAGACATTACTGTGCAAATGTGCAGCAGTCCTCAGTGAAATCTTGTGAGGAGCTACCCACATAACCGTTATGAGACTAGCTCTGTCCTTGTTTGCACTTCTAGTGACCATAGTAGTAATAACAGTAACAGCAACACACTGTTGCTGAAGTCATGGTTTTCCACAATGCAATAGCCAACAGCATTCCCTTGGTGGAATCATACCTGTGACTCCTTTAAAGGAATATCAAAACTTTCGCTGCAGCCATGTCACTGCAAGTGATATAGATGGAAATGCATGATTTTTTATCTACCCTCACTGTTGAATTGCACTTCCACATAGCACCTGTCCAATGCTAGCCTTTGACTCTCTATCAAACTTATTCTCTCTGTTGTTAATGATATATTTCATGTTAGATGCAGCAAACTGACACATCTTAGATCCACTTGTCACCTCCTTCTACCTTGTGATATTTTGCAGAGGCATATCTGCCTACCTCCATCGGACAAAAGAGGAGAGAACTTTCAGTAAGAAAGTCAGCGGGACTGACAATGAGAAAAGGCACTATAATCATTGTGGAACTCATTCTGTATGGACTCTCTAGCTTATTCACACCTACAGCAGAAAAAAACAGGATTCAGGTGCCTAAAATGTGACTATTCAGGCAACAATCATTCTATACACAAAAATATCCCATCCGGCTCAAGCAACCTCTGAACTGCAAATCTGGCAGCTGACAGAATACACTGGACAAGTACCACCTTGTTCTTATCCTCCTCCTCAACACAGCAGCACAGCAGTAGGGTCACTATTGCCTGCTGTCAGAAACAGGGTATCAGGATCCCAGCCACATCTTCTGTTACATTCTCATGTCTTGTACAATCTGTTCAGAGCAATGTATGTCACAGAAACATATTTCAACATGGGTCAAATCATGATGCTCTTGCTGTGGTACAAGTATACCTCACACTCAGGCCAGGCTGAAAACCACTGACATCTACAGAACTGTCAAACTGTATTTCAACAGTTCAACGTATCAGCAGTATGCAGAGATACAATATACACCCTATTTACAATTTCAGCTACCATTATTCTGAACCACATTTAACCGAGATGGGGCTTTTTCTGTGAGATTTCCTAGAGCTCTTCTGACTTTATCCCCATTTCATAACAATGTTTGTCAGTCAGTTTTGAAAGGTAAGAAAGCTGCGTTAAAACACAAAGTCCCAGCTAGGCAAGCTGTATACTCTTTCAAAACACAACCAAATAGGTCGGGATTTCATTCACAGTCTTGTCTTTTCTCAGAACACAAATAAGTATTTCAAATTTTAGAAATATATTAATTGTAACTTTACCATGGCTATGAGATTTTCTGAAGTAGGGCCTAGTGCTTCCAAAGACTCTGGTTCATCTGTTGGCCTCTTGTAATGGAAAGCTGTTCCAGCAACATCAAACTTTCTTGGCCAGTCAATAGTCCAGGCACCATTAATATAGTAGTCATCCTCTTCAGATTTTAAAGCTTAAAAAAAAATACAAGCCACCTAAAAATTGGAAGCAGTATTTATAATGGAGAAGCTATTGCAAATTAATCTAATAATCTCTTACGAGTGTGTGAGTTTCGGCCCAATGTCAGTGTTTTTTTCAAGTAACATAAAGTCTTTTCTTCAGCTCTGGTCAAAATATCCCTCATGCAGTTTGTCAACATTGCCTCTATAATAATCTTCAATGTGTTGGCATACTCGGCAGATTTCAACATGCAGGTGCAATACAGAACAAAACAAAATGCCTCATGCAACTTGCAATATATCTTCAACTTTAAAATCGAGTCCACGTGCAATTTATGCTGTTCTATGTAAGATATATGTAGGCCTTAAATGTAAATCAATTATCAATGTAATCTTTAGATTAAGAAGCTAGGGCATGGGATAGGTATCTCAGATAATGTGCACAGGAAAAACAGAGAAGGAACATTCAGTCTGTCGTTTGGTGCTAATCAGCTCTTGCTTTGTTGCCTTTATCCTCTGGAGTTTTTTATCCTCTTAAAGCAAAAATTCAAGACATTTCTACTACAAACCCAAATACTAGGTACTTAACATGATTAAAAATTTTATTATTTCTAATATGCAGCCTTAAACCATAAAAGTACTGTAGATAAAACATAAAATTTCTTAACTAACCAACCAATTAGGCTGGACAAGCACATATTATTCAGGTATTTGTATCTGCTATTGGTGAAGATTACCAAGTTATTCAGTATTCATATTTACTTTAAATAAAACATGTTCTTAAAGGCAAATGATGGTTGAAAACACATTATCCAATAGCCATGTCGTTTTTTGTAGAGACAAATAACTGACTTTACTAGATAGGGAAAAAACTCACCTCATAATCATAAGGAATGAGACAACTTATGACCAAGTTGTATTCTCAACTACATCTGTGTGGACAGATAGTTTACCTTAAACAGTTAGGGAAAATGTCTCAGTGATGATCAAACTGACTAAAACAGGTCAGAGAGCCCACACATGAGCAGCACATAGTTGAACAGGCAGTAATGTTCTGTTGGTGACAGCCATATTCAGCAGGGATAAGTAACCACTTCTATCTGCACCATAAGGTCTGGAAAGAAATTTCTTTCTACAGCATAAATCTTAGTCCACTGACTTCCCTAGATTTACTCATGTGCTTTGAGTAAAACAGCTAGCTCTGACACATTCACTTGTCTGGAATTCTCTAATTCATTCAGATTCCTTACTGTCTATATAGGTTTTGTAGTACAAGAAGGAGATAGTAAAAAAAAGTGAGTATGGGAGAAACAAGACAGATCGCAAGCAGTACTGTTCTAGAAGAAAGCAGAAGTACTTCACTACTTATCTATTTTTATGCAGGTCTATGAAATAACCATGTTACCACTGAACAGCAGTATTTTGTTTCATCAGTGGTTCCATTTCCACATAGCCAAAATTTGTACCCATCCTGCTTTTACAAAATCTAGATTAATTAAAAGAAGGTCATAGGGTCTCCCCAAAGCTACCGAGACATATTAAGTGTCTCTTACTGTGCCACTCAATCCCAAACATTTCCTTGTCAGTATGTCTAGGATGTACTAAGAGCAAATAAGGAAGTGAAATCTTTATTTACATTATTTGAGACATAGGAAAAACAATAAGAAATACAAATGATTGCAGGAGAACAAATGTTCTCATACATGTTTACATAACTAATAATTCTGAAATTATACGCTATCAATTGTATGTATGCTATACACACTTAAATTAATGTATATCCAGAAGCAAAGCAGTTTATTTTTTACCTGATTGACAAAGAAAAATACATTTGCATTCTGTAAATAGATTTACCTAATGTCAGTTGTTACCCATAGGTGAAAGCCACACAGTTGCGAACAGCAGTCCGGTAATATAATTACACGACAATGACAACACAGTGGCATAATGCAATTTTGTTGTTGCTGGGCTATTTGTCGGACAGATCAGTTTGAACTACCGAATTACATATGCAGCTGCAGAAACGTGCTTTTGCCATCACAACACTAAGAGCGATATTGGTGCAGAAATGATCAGCCAGAGACAGGGGGAGGGAGGACAAGTGCTGACTGAGCTAACTGAATTGCCAAATGTCTAACTGCAGCCTAAATTTGAAGTCATAGCTTGCAAGAGAACTGGATCTTAGGTTAAGGAACCACACAATGCTTCTTGCAAGTTAGTTTGAAAGCCTGCTAACTGAAATGAACAAAGAAGAAACTCTGAAGCCAGTGTGACAACTACAGAGAAAGAGGGGTTTTTTTCTTTTTTTGTATACTTCTAAATTGAGACATTGATTTCTTAGACTGCGGTCACATATTTGGCAGCAGTGCCCATAAACCAAAATATAATATTATGTGTAAATGGTTACTTTCAGCTGAATCAGTTCTCTAATCTGGTTCATGGTGTGGCCACTCAAACAGCTGTCCTGGAACAACAGAAGGAACTCCATAAAGACAGGGAAGGAGCTGTAAATTTGACACTGCCACTAAAGAAATATCCATAAAACAATACCCTTGAGGTATATATTTTAACATAACAAACTAATTTTTAACTACCATTGTGCTTGTACAGTTCTTTTAAGGGAGCAGACAAATTAGAAGCCTTCCCTTCCCCAGAAATTGGTGATCCTAAAATTGTGATCTGGTTCACACTCATGACAAAACATCCCATCACAAAATTATATGGCCCCTCCAACTTAGTAAGATTATCTTTCATTAGGATATAATGGCACCTTTGAAAGCTGGAAACACAGGAAACCAATGAAAGAGAGGAATCCTCCATTTGGGCTTCTGTGGCATGAAGCAAGGTAGTGAAGAGAGAGCCTAAAACTCATGAAACCCCTTGGAATTGTGATAAGCACGTACAAAAAGTGTTCACGCACCACTTTACATTTTTAGATCTGTGTCTAGATTAAATATCAATGAAGTTCTCTGTATTTTTTATTTAGGCAAAAAAAATTACATTTTTCTTTCATTTTATACAGATGGTGTGAATCTAAATGCTCGTCCCTCTACTTATAAAATAGAGGAACAAACTTAATTGTAGTACCTAAAAGTTATCTTCTTTGTTCTGGTTTTCAGCTGCCTCTGGAATAGTTCTTAGCAGAAAATGACCATGATAGGATGCATTGTAGGCCTCTCTCCCACCACCTCTGTTTGAAATGTCACTGTAGGATATATAAGCAACCTTACCCGCAGTACATTTTGACATGAGGGAGGGGCCAGGGGAGTGTGATGCTGAAAGAATAATAAGCACTCTGCTGCTGGAGTAGTAGTGTTATTGCTCCTGCAGAATCAAGGGAGACGATTGATTATCTGTTGAATTACAGAAGGCTGGGGGCCAGCAGAAAGAAAAGTAGGCATCCAACAGTAAAAGGTACCATTATTATCAATACAATCGATTCAGGAACTATGAACCTAGGAGGATAATTGCCCTTCTAACTCACACTTACAGGCATCACAATCTATTCCACATGTCAGTGTCACATCTATCAACTACATGGAGTACAGACTGACAAAAGTTGCCTTATCAGCTGCTGTTCAGGCTAAACAGGTAATAACTTTTGATTGTTTTAATCTGTTAGTTTGTTGTACAACTAATCAGCTCTTTAATCTATTTTTGACTAAGAAATGTGTGTTCTTGCACTACTGTGTACTGACTGCTACGCAAATCAGGGAATAGAGACTTTCAGGAATGCATGCTGTCTTGAGCTCAACAAAGCCAGATTTGTACTTATCAGCATTAAAAAAAACAGAAAGCAAATTTAACACAGTCTTTAAAGAAAGGAATAACAATCTGGAATTTAATTGTGTGCTTTACAACAGGCTTTCTGAAAGATGTCAATTAAAGACCTCATTTTTTCTGCACCTTACTTTCCTTATCTATAAAACACAGATGGCACCTGGTCCCTACAACACAGCAACACAGAAACAGGAATTAATACACTAAATTGCCTTAAGATAAGGAGACCTTATTGTTCGCATTTAAGTAATTAGGAATAATCCTTCCAAGAACAAAACTGTGTTTTAAAATAGCATAATCCCACAAGACCAGGGACTTCCCAGATGGAAGGCACTACCTCAGAGTGGGACAGTTGAGTGTTCCTCATCCACTTCAGCTCAAGCCTGACACCATAACTACAGCGAAGTTGACCTAATTTTGCATTGAGTGGATGAGAAATCACATTACGTACGTCATTAGCTCCATTCAAGAGAATACATCTCAAGCAAATACTGCAATAGTCTGATCTCAATCTAATATTAACAGTTAACAATTCCCTCTGCTTCTTCTTCTATGTCTATGGTTTGGTAAAACCAGGAAATGTACCTTCAAATCACAAACTGACTTTATAATGGTCTCCTATTTAAGCCATGCTCTTACCAATGTAATTCTTCGACATTGCCACTTCTCTTATTTCAATGTGCACAGAACCTCTTGGAATTTGAATCACTTCCATATAGCCTATAAGACAAAGGTAAATTTTATTTGTTGTTGTTTACATTAATCAATATTAGTAATGAAACTAACTATTAATAAATTATTTACTACTAAAAATTATTACGAGATATTGGATTCAAATGTACTTGAACATTTTCTTTCATGGGATATAAAGGAAAACTTCAAATTTCATACAAAAAGTTGAAAGTGATAGCAAGAACTTACCATGTAGTCAGGAACTCCTTTTTTTAAAGTGCTAATAAAGTCTTTCCAACAGTGTATCACAAGTAATTAATGTATAAAATGACCTCAGGACCACAGGATAATTCAGGTTGGAGAAGACCTTAGACAGTCATTTACTTCAAGTTCCTGCTACAAGCAGGGTCATCTAGGAGATCAGACCAAGTTACTCAGCACTTCATCCTGCTGGGGTTGTGAAAAACTCCAAAGATGGAAACTGTACAACCTTTGTGGGCAACCTGATTCACTGCTGGACTTTCCTCCTTGGGAAAAAGTTTTCCCTTCCATTTTGTCAGCACTTGTTTTGTTTCAATTTATAGCCACTGCCTCTTCTCCCACTACTGTGAAGAGCCTGGGACTGTCTTCTCCAGAACCTCCTCATAGGTATTGGAAGGCTAATACTAGGTCCCCACAAACCTCCTCTTCTCCAGGCTAAATAAGCCCAGCTCTCTCAGCCTCTCCTCACAGAGGGGCAAGCACTCCAGACCCCAATAATCTTTGTGGTCCCTCACTGAACTGAACTCACTCCAGTCTATCAACCCTTTCCTGTATTTGGGAGCCCAAAACTGGTAACACTAAAACTGCAACATTAATGTTAAAATCATTACATTAAAATCATACCAAAACATTACTCTTACTATACCACCATAACTAAATAATAAGAAAAAACCTGCACCCACTTCTTTTTAGGTGCATTAAAGACCATGAGAACTAAATATTCAGTAATGAAACATGTTGTATTTCACACAAATCCAAACTAATACAGAAAAAGGAAACAATGAGGCAAAAGGAGTCAAACTGAATGACCAGCTGCAATGCCATGCTGGAAATCAACGCAGCACTGTTATTTGCTAAACAGTCATCTAAATGTACTGTGTAATAGACTGGACATCTATGTGTGTACCTCCTCTGGGCAACGAATCATTGAAGAAACCTTCAATAGCTTCACATGTACTCCCATCTCCTCCACAAACACGGCATCTATCTTCCTTAGCATCAGATCCCAAAATATTATCACAACCTACATGCTGAGAACAGATAAAAAGAATTATTTTAATAGGCTGACTGTCTTGCACCACTATCTTAATAGGTTTTTTGAAGTGTTTCTCTCCAGTTTGAGATATTCAGTTCTTCTTTTTATCTACTCTGTTTTTTTGATAGCTGTTACCTAAGTGGGTTTTCACTTAACAGAGAAAGAAAATAAAAAGGCGAACAATCCATATTCTGGGTTGTTACCAAATCTTGATTAGCAAGTACTTTGTACTTCTACTGTGACTTTCAGGAAGGGATCTCACAGCATTTTACAAGCAATGTAATTATTACTCTTATCAATAAATGATTAGTGACTTTTTTTTTAATATTACAACAACTAACTGTGTTCCATCCGTATTGCTTTGTTAAGGTAAACATTTGCTGTGTGTTCCTTAAACATTTATGCAGCATAAACAGTATTATTGTTCCCAAAGGTATTTACAGGTTCCGAAACAATATTTCATATCCTCCAGGCAAAACTTGCAATTATTTTCACAAGTTTGAATGTAAAGTGTGGATGACGTCACTGTAAGAATGAATGCTGAATGAAACTTATTGAGAAGCTGAGTTACATGCTGTATTAGATAGGATTCAAAAGCCTTTGGAAAAAAGAGGTGCTATAACTGATCATAAAAAGTACACTATACTTCTGACTATCTACTTGAGAAATCTATGTACAGTGAATGATGATCAACTTATTGATTCAGCTCTATTACAAAGCTAATGAAAACAGAGACCGCTGGATCCTTTAAAAATAGAGAATGACCAAGTACGATGTAAACAGAATGAACACTGCAGATTGTCAATTTTTAATTTGTTTTATGCAAAAAAGGGAGACAGCTACCTAACTTAGTTTACTATCTAGCAATATTATCTATCGTCTTGTAAACAGGTAATACATAGGTCACTAGAGAAGGTAAAATGCTTTAATTAGTTGACAAAATAGTATCATTCTAACACTTTACATTTCAACTTTCTGATTCACCAAGAAGACAGAGGCCCAACTTTATTACATACCTAATTCTCAACCTGAGATTTAGTCTGATTATTAGTTTTAAAATATTTATCAAAACTACTCAAATCTCCTCAGGTATAAAGTACACCAGAATCCCACAGGTTACTTCTTGTGCGTTTTGTGGTTTTTTTTTTTCCTGTTAGTTTACTAATTCATAGCAAGTGCTTTTGGTCTCATCAAGTTATTCAACAAACACATCTTCAGCCCTCAATTTAGCAAAGAACTTAAACATTGGGTTAAGCTTTAGTTACATTAGCAGTTTCAGTGAGATCAAATAATTTTAGAGTCACCAGCACTGTTCAGATATCTAGACTTAATAATTAAACACTTTCCTAAACTGAAGCAGCAGTGGGATGTATATAACCAAAAAAATGTCACAAACCTCCAATTCTATTCAAATTAATGTAACACAGTTCTATAGGAATCTTACAAGATAATCAGAGTTTTAGTAAATGGGCAAAAAGTTGCATCACTATACACTTTTTCCTTCAACTACAGAGCAATAGTGACAACCTTCTGTATCAAGTACATTAACAGCAGAATTGTTTGAAACAGCATGAACTAGGTAAAGAGAAACAGATCAATACGTAACATTTACTGTTTTGCAGCTAGAGTGGTGTTCTAATTGGAACGATGGGAACAGGCCTTGAAACAGTGAAAGGAATCTGTTCATCTCCTGTTGCCCTTTACATCATTTCTTCAACAGAAACCATAAAGCAAGAAAAAATAAGGCAAAATGAACGTTCTATGAATGTCTGTGAGAAGCTACCGAAATTCAAATGATTTGTCTAATTTATGCAATACCATTTTAATCTTTTTGTCTCAATCTTACTCTTCAATGAACAAATTGACCTGTCAACACTCCTGTTTCCTGTAAGTAACAAACAAGTACCATAATTAAAGGTAAGAGATAGCAGACACAACAAAGGAATCCATAAGTAACTTTTGTAACCTTGCATTCTCCATTGATACAGATATCCAGTGAATCAGCATTGCACTGAGTCCCATCTATTACTGCAGGAGCACGTTCAGTGTAAAAATTATAACCTTCAGCCAAGCAGTTTAATGCACATGGTTTAACCCCACCTGGACAACAAAAACAAATGAAAAAAAAAGCCCAACAGAAATCTTGCAAAGTTAACAATTAGTTGAAAATATATAAGCATAAACATCTGAAATTTATAATCTCATACCTGACACATATAATGTATACACTTTATTTAACTTCCCTTTATTGATTTCTCTACTTGACTCTTCTTTCTTGCAAAAAAGATTATTTCGCATAGTAAGATATGGCAAGGTTGGCTGGCTCCATAACGATTCCATTATGTTAATACAACCCTAATGATTGTTGAACAATTTAAAACAATAAGGATACCACTTCACCAGTTGAAAAACAAGAATAACAAAATAATTTAGTGCTAAAGTATATCAGGATAAATATCAAAACCAAGATTAGACTATTTCAATTAGGAATTTAGTCCTATTGAATTACACTACAGCTCAGACCACGCAATCACAATGATCCTTTTTAGGCTTTCAATATAAAATAGCTAAGAATGAGACCGTTTAAGTCAATAAAATAAAAAAATACAAGGGGGAACACGGACTTATTTAGTCAGGGTTTAGAACAGGAAAAACCAAAATAATAAAAGGGCAACCTATGAACTTTGAACAACAGAAACATAACCAAACTTGATTAAATTGTCTCAAAAAGAAATCACAACTCTCTTCCCTGCTACAAAATATATACAGTGCAATTATGTATAATTCAATTATTGAAGTAGTCTTTAGAGACCCTCATAAATGCTTCTTTCTCCTTTTCCTACTATTCTGACCTTAAGAAAAGAAAACTTATTGCGAGATTTTTTTATACTAAACCTATCACTGTAGCATGAAAGGCACTTACAGATCACCTATGGAATCTCTTAATTCCATCCTCTAATTACAGGGGGAGAAGGGATCCATATTTTTAAAGTACAGTCCCTACAACAATGCTCACTCTCCTACACAGTAAAATAGAACTCTACCAGAATAGAGATGGCTCTTTGCAACATTTTCAGCAACTGACAAAAGTACAAGCAAATGTAGCTCATTGTATTTTAATCAAAACATTCTATTTACAAACATTACTCTCTATATGACATTGAGATAATTTTGAAGACTTCACACATGATAACACTTCTGCAGAGCTAACCATTACCTCCAGTGTAGGGTTTCCAGTTATAATACTTTCCCCGGAAAGGCATATTGTCAAAATCTGCACATTGCTTCTCTCGAAAATCACGGGCCCCTGAAGGACATGGCTAAAATAATAAAGAGAAGAAAAGGAATAATTTCTTACAAATATCAACATAAAAGGAAATGCTTATATGCTTATATTGCAAACATAATCGTGCAAGAGACTAGGAGGTGGTTCCCTCCTTTATCTTGTGGCTCTGACTCTGAAACTTGCTTTATTGCTTTACAGTTGAAGGGTCTATTTTGCAATCTTAGGCTGGCATGCAGTAACTGAAGTAATTTAAACAAAAGTAAGTGTTACACAACATTTTCCATAAAACTGGACAATCAGAATCACATCAAACTATGCTTCATAATCACTCCATCAGGTACCTCCTTACAAACACACATTAAAAACACACAAAAAAATTAAAACAAAATCTTTTTGGTAAGAACTGTAGGCTCAGTTATACTGTATTAAGCAGCTATACTGAGACATGTTATTAAGACATCAATAAAAAAATTCAAACACTTTCTAGAGAGCTGTATCACCTCTGCTTATTTGTAGCCTTGACAAAAGCATTGTGTAAGGCTGAGAAAGAGAACAGATTATCATGTTTGGCTCTGATTTTTACCAGTCTTCACATGTGAAGAAGTAAAAACTGCCTTCATTTACCTTTTCATTACTTTGCATTACCAATTACAAAACTGTAAAGTATCTTTTTTTTACTTGGAATAAGGGTAGAAGTAAGTGAAATTCATCTCAGCAAGAATTACAGCAGAATCAGAATTCTTTGCTATTTCTCACATTTTTCATCCATAGGTTCAAAATAATACTGACAACTAATCTTGAATATACCCAGAAATTACATAGCACATTAAATATTGTTATCAATGTTTAAGTACCTGCTGAAATTTCAAGTTTCATCAGACAAAGTATTTGAAATACAGATTAAAACCATATTTAGTCTGAAAGAGAAAAGAATTTGTTTGACAGAAATCAGAGGTGTTAATAAACATCACCATTTTATGGTTAACAGACGACCCCATTTTATGACAGTTTTACTTGTCTTCCTCTGTATCTAAGACGGCACTGTTCAGGACTCTGAAGTGCATTGAAGTGAAAGGATATCTATGAACATGTATGATAAAAATCTACTGCACAATGCAAATATTAACAAAATAATTATAGTTCTCAGTATACATTAATCAAACTCTTATAACAGACAGTTATTGCAGTATGATTCAAAAACTAGAAAATTTTTCTCCAATTTTGAAGCTGTTGCGATATAAACATAAATAGTGGACATTAGGCAGTATTTAAATTTTCTCTACAAATCACTCAATTATCTCCTTCTAAGTAAAAATATATTTTTGAATATATAACATTTCCTGGTGAAAAAATTAAGTAGTGTAACTTCTTTAATTCAGTAACCCCTCAGATGGTAACACTGAGAATAAAAAATAACTATGCAAATAAAATAATAAGAATTTTCCAAGTTTTTTTAATAATAACACACATTAAATTTGCCTCTTTGCATCATATTCTCCAAGCAGTAGAAGGATCAGTCCTGACCCATGTCAAAGCTTGAGTCTGAATCTCCCCAATACTGGTCACTGCTCCCTGTTCTTCAGTCCCACTTGCTTAGGTACTAATTTACATGGCTGGTATTTTAACTGCACCAAGTACCCCTTAGAAGTTAACTAAATCACCCCCCCAATACCATTATTTTTCTAAATAGTTGTACTAGGACAAAACAATAAAATGCAAAGATTAGTGAAGAAAGATCAAGACTTCCATATTTATACTCTTTAAAAAGATTTAATTAACTTTTTTTTTAAAAAAATGCTAATGGGGAAGAGTTTACACTCAACAAAACTGACAACTGATAACACAATAGAGGGAGGAGTGCTTTAAAGGGCGGCTACAAAGAAGATGGAGACTCCCTTTTTGCAAGGAGTCACATAGAAACGTGGAGGGATACAGTGGGTAGAAGTTACTCTGGGGTGATTCTAATTGGACACAAGAGGAAAATTTTTCACAATGAAAACAATCAGCCATTGGAACAATCTCCCCCGGGAAGTGGTGGATCCCCCAGCATCGGACACTTAACATTCAGCTGGACAGTTTGCTGGGCCATCTTGTCTAGACAGTGCTTTTGCCAAGAAAGGTTGGACCAGATGATCCTTGAGGTCCCTTCCAACCTGGTATTCTATGATTCTATCATTCTATGAAAATCATAGGTATAGTAATGTAAAAAAGTTACTCCAAGGTAAGCTACAATATGCATTTACAAAGTGTCAGCTCTTTGGTGCTGTCTCTTAGTGTACATTCTCTTCCCAAAGTAAATATGCAATAACTGTGTCTCTATATTAGGCAAGATACTTCACTTTTTTCATACAGTTACAATACATGGATAACTCATGTCAAGCAACAAGCTGCTTGTGTTTCCAAATGCCTTTTTAGGAGAGTGCAAATCATGAGGCAGGAATCTAACAAACGTACAATAACTTAAAATCAGGTCTGAAGAAGGTCCTGAGAAGAAGATAATGAAATAATTAAAATTTAGAGGTTTTTTTTAAATTTGTCTTTATAAGAACATTAAAATTTTTACGACTGAAGCAAAAATAAATAATCTAAAGTTTTAACAAATCACTGAACCAACATTAACATGACACCAAACATCTTATCTCACAGAAATCTGTTTATCTTGAAGTTTAAAGTCAGGCAGACTTTAATAATTGAACTCATTGTGTTCCCTGTTAACAAAATGCTATACTACACCTCACAGATGAGAAACACAGCCAGAAGGCTAACAGCTGAAACTTAAGCACTGTTCCAAGACATAACTCTTTACATTAATGTGGTTTAGAAAAAAAGGAAGCTTGAAAATATTAAAATCATGAAAGCAATGAACAGTATCTGTGAATGTATGCATAATGGAAGAACCAACAAAAAACATTTGCTTACCTTCTATTACAAGAAAAGACTGAAGAACAAGAATCTTGTAAAGGTACATATACACACAAATTTTATATAGATAAACCACTCACAGAATTTGTAAGCAAAACATATTTCTTATTGTACATAAAAACTTACGAGGCTTTTACAATTTTAGATGTATATCAAATTAAACTTCACGTCCTATACATGTTTTAAATCAGACAATGAGTTAGGAGTAATTATGTGCCCTGCAATTCTATTAGTATTTTGTATTTTTTTTAATTAAAAGTACTTCGGTTGAAAAAATACGTATGATTTTGTTAGAGATAGTGTTATTGGTGGCAGAAAATAAGTTTCTGATGAGTGTGTTCCTTCTACCACCCTTTTGTTTCCAGAACTCATTAGCTAATGTTCTTTCTTGATCTCAATGTTTACATTAGTAAATGCCTTTTGAATTGAGAAGTCATATATGGCTTTGGAAGTGTTTGATGAGAAATAAGCCTAGTAGGATTGTGTGCACTGTTTCCAAAGAACTAAAATGGTCAAAAGAAAGAGCAACAGAACTAACTCATCTCTGAAGGAAAAATGAAGTCAAAATGAGGTTTTTTTGGTTTATGAATAGTAGGAGCTTTAGGGAGTGCTACACTGAAAATTACAGATAGGCAATGAATGTTGACACTGCAAAATAAACCTCAACAGAAAAGACGTACAAACAACACATAATTCATAAAAACAATGACAGATTTGCATGCTCTTAACGCTTACATTAATCACACATACCATTCCACTACAAACGTCAAGCATTAAGGACTATCATAAATCTTGAAACAAACTCTACTTGTCTCAGCAATTCTTAGTTACGTAGAACCCTAAATATTACTATAAAAGAAATAGAATCATCAAAACCATTAAGGCAGTAAATTTAAACTTCTGTAAGTACTAATATGTTTATGTACTGGAAAAACATACCCAAAAAACATGCTAAAAAGATTTTTTGCTGTCAAACTGTAAGAATGGCATTTCCAAATTGCCTGGCACAAGTAGCCAATTGTTCAAGATTTGCTTTTAAGACCTAGACAACGAAACGCAAGGTTTCCTTTCCAAAATCTTGTTTAAATTATACATTGAAATCTGAGTGTAGGTAGGGAACAAACATTTTGGAATAGAGGACTACAATTTTGAAGGATTTTGATAAATTGGAGCTGTGATTTGAAATAAAGCAATGGATGCAAATTACTGCACTTCAGTAGGTACAATCAACTGTGCAAACACAAGCAGAGGAATGTCTTCCTAACTAGCAGCTCTTAAGAAAGAGATTTGGGCATTAGGGATCAACACAGATTAAGTAAATATTGTCACTCCTTTAAGAAAAAAGAATGCAATACTGAAATGAATAAATGGAATCCCATCACTAAGATGACAGACTAAGTTCGAAGTTGTACTTATCTCTGACAGGCCTCAGCTAGAATCCTGTGCTGAGGTTTGGGCACCACACTTCAAGAAGATGTATGCCACTGAGATCATCATAGAATCAAGGATGGTTAGGGTTGGAAGGGACCTTTGAAGATCATCAGTTCCAACCCCCCTGCCAAGGGCAGGGACACGTTCCACTAGACCAGATTGCTCAAAGCCTCATCCAACCTGGCCTTCATCCAACCTTCCCCTCATCCAGGGATGGGGCATCCACAACTTCTTTGGACAACCTGTTCCAGTGCCTCACCACTCTCACAGCAAAAAATTTCTTCCTGATATCTAATCTAAATCTCAAAGGTTATTAACACAGAGGCTATCTAGTGTAAAGCCTAAACAGACACAATAGTATTCTTCAAACAGAGGAAAGGCTCCCATAGAGTGAATATTATCAGCTGTCTTCTCACTGGGGAAGGAGTAAGTAAGGGTCTTTAAAGGATGGGAAAACATATATTTTATGAAAACTGTCTGACTGTAAGCATATAAAAGAATCCTAATTAAATCCGGGGACTGGAGGTATTTCAAAAACAGGGTCCATTTCCTAACCATCAGTTAAGAATGGTTTAATGACAGTTCATTCTGCCTTTGAGACAGGGAATTAGCCTGTATGGCCTCCTCACATACCTTCTAGATGGTCCTTCTGTGACCCTGTAAGCTTCTTCACAGTAATAAAGAGAGAATAAGGGAAGCAAAACCAACTAAGAATAAAACTGTCTGAAAAGTATCCGACAATAAGAAATAAAATATGATAAGAATAAAGCAAATCCTAGCCACATTTCAACGGTATCACTAGGCAGCTATGGTATGAATGTTAATAATAAAAAAGCATTAAAAACCATTGCACATTTGTGAGGGATATATAGGTATATTTATATATGAGGTATATTTGTGTATTATGTAAACTTTCTTCTACACTAGTTACTGTGGCAGATGCTAAATAATATCTATCGGAGATAAAGATTTTAAATAAGAATGCCTGGACAACTACCTCACAAGAGTCCTCAAAAAGTTAAGGAAGAAGGGTTCCAGTGTGCCCATGTGGATTTTTAACAAATCTTAAGACTGTGCGTACAAACTGAGACAGTGCTAATGTAAAAAGTTCATTATTTGAAAAAATTGAAAAGTTGGCACAGACTTGACAGATACTGGTTTAAAAGAAAAATAATGATACAAATCAGTATTTTGTGTAAGAACAGGTTTTATCAACTAAAACTTTTTACAATTCCTGATTAAATTAAAAGGATTATGGAATATGCTTAGATTTTTGATAAGGCACTTAACTTACTAGTACACAACATTCTGACTGAAAAAAAAACAGAAACAAAATTGTACTAGTTCAGTAAAACATATATTAAATTCATTAAACATTGACCAAGAGATTTCGACAGATTACAATAAGGAATCATCACTTAGCTGATTAATTTGTAGGTGAATTTCCTATCAACTGTAAGAATAAGAAACACACTGTTACACAACATTTTCATCTGTGAATCAGAACTATGAAAATTCTTGCTTATGAAGTCTCCCAATTACAAAAATATCTCTGAGCAAAAATAAAGAGGAAGGTAAATTAACTACAGCAGATCATCAGATAAGCTGGATCCATTTAAAAGAAAATTGAACAAAGACAGCCAACTACAAAAAACCACATCTACAGAAAAAAGATGGTCAAAGTTTCAGAACGGTACACTGCAATTTGGAGGACTGTATGACTGGAAAAGTTTTACAGGTGCTACTGGACAAGGAGCTCAGCTTCAGTTTCTCTTACAACACTGTGGCCAAGACACTTGGCTGTGTGAACAGAGCAGCTGTAATTAGCAGTTGGAAAGTAATTTTTAATTTGGAAACTTGTAATACTGACTGCCTAATAATGGGAGTAACCTCCACAACAATTTTGCAGAACTATTACTTATGATAATCAGTGATGATCATAAAAACAAGGTTTTTTCCAAGGAATATTGAATCTTAACTACTGTATTTTTTCCTGAAATACATCAAAAGATAAACAAGTGAAATAACACTCTTAGGTACAGACTCTCCAACTCTTATGAATTTTCTTGATTTAAGAAGAAAATTAAGATGAATTTGAAGCTAAAATAATAGGAAAGCCTGTTTATGTTTGCAGTGTTACTGACTTGGAAACTTACCAGTCAAATTATTTATTGTTGTGTACTTTCTTCTTGTTCAATTTTTAACCTCCTTGAATTTGTAATTTAGTTTCATACTTTGATTTATACTCTGCCCCACCCCCGCACCCGTAGTTCATTATTTGATGGGCTCAGCTCTAAAATAAAACTGCATGATCATTTTGGTAATACAAGAACCAGCAGACACCTGATGGCAAAACAGCAGGTTTAAACACACCAAAAGAAATACATTTTCACAGAATGTGTAAGAGGACTGTGTAACACATTAGCACTGGAAGCTATAAAGGTATAAAATAAATAAGAGGGTTTAAAAGTGATTCATGGAGGATACTTCCATTTGTGGTACTTAACATGGTACAGATATAATGTGCAGCTCAAGGAATCTTTAGACACCCAGCTTCTGGAAACTCACACGGTATATCCATGGAAAAGCCATGCCTTGGCTGCCAGAAGTTTGCAATTTTTCCTTAAAACACTTGTTACTGGCCACTGCTGGGAGACAAGACGCTGGGCCAGACAGACCTTTGCTCTGATGTGGAATGCTCCTTGTTCACCTTTAACATGGATGTTCAAGTTGAACTCACTCCAGGCCTTCACACAAAGGCACCAACCGGGCATTACATTGAGATAGGTATCCTAACATATAGCAGAACATGTAGGGTACCTGCAATATAGAAGTGCCCTACAGGACCGTTTCCCAACAAAATGCAGAACTGACAGATTTTCGGAACATGGAAAAAAATGCATCCATTGCTGCTAAAATGCAGAACAGGCAAGTTGATTACACACTCACAGTGGAACAAAATTTACTTACATCAGTATTACAGGAGCGATACCGCTTCCTTTCTCCAAGACAATATTTGCCTCCACCTGAAGGCCTGGAAAAACATGTTTTATGTGTTAGTATATGTATTAGTATAAACACAAATTGATAAGATACCCTACGGCATTATTAGTATAAATACAAGTCCAAGAGACATATATTTTAATTGCATGGAAGTTTTAAGCTGAGATTTTAAAATATTTTATTTAATACTAATTGTAGCATTGACTTGAATTGGAGCAGATACAACAGAATACTGGGTACTTGAAAATCATCACTCATATACTACTCAACTAGTTGGCATAGATTCCAGGCAATACAGTTTAACTGTATTTTGAACATACTGAAAAAGCATTGGTTTTAATTATTTGCATGCTTTGTAAAACTACAATGAGAAATGTGTAAACAACGTATGTGATACTTTTTTTTTTTTAATCTTCTCGTATTACATTTGGAAATAAAACAAAATGAAGAAACACTGCCTGGTAAATACTGGAGCCAGCAAAGACTGCATTTTCTAGTTCAAGAATCCGATTCTGATTTTAATTAAGCAGTATTACATATGAAGAAACTCCAGAGTAGGCAGGTTTCTATTAGTGCAAATAAGACACTGGCTCTTAAGTTCCCAAACTGTTCAAGAACCTTATCTGTCTTCTGCAAGAGGTCAAGTAATGAATTAACATTGACTTAAATGGAAGATTAATCAGACATCAGCTCTTTGGTTCATAACTCGAAAGCAGCAAGGAAAAACACTTGGTGTTTGCCTTATAATAAAAAATAAAAGGATTTACAATTAACTAAAAAGAAAATCAATACTGTTTTTCACATTACACATATTTAGCCAGGCAACACTATCCTTGAACCAAAAGGCATTTTTTTCCTAATGCAGACACACCCCACCCCCAACAATGCATTTGCTTGTTGTACTGTTAAACATTTAAAACATAGGTGGTGAGAGGAGGAATAGTTAAAAAATCTCGGGAAATTACTCATGCTGTAAACAAAAGACTTCACTACCATTTTAATATACCGATGTGAAAAAATAATTAATTTAATTTACTATTCTCTCAGCACCATAGTCTGACATGTTATCAATGCATGTGGATAATTTTTGCTTTTGAAACCATTCAGTAAGTAGTGCTAGTTGCCAGATTGGATAGTTATTGCTAATAACAGGAGGTAACAGACCACCTTAAGCAGCAGCAATGTGACATTACGGTGTTTGTCTTGCAGAGCGCAGTGGAAAGCCGATGCATACCCTAGCTTGCAAAACATGGGTACAAGCAACAAGGAACCTAAGTGTACAGAGAGGAGAAGACAAGAAAGGAGTGGCAAAAGCCAAAGAATGGATTTTCACAAAAGAATTTCAAAAGTTTAACGTTTTCAAGAAAAAGTGGTCTTAAAAATAATAATGGTGATGGAAATAGTGATTATGGGACATGAAAAGAACAAAGTATGGAGTACTAAAACTATCCTTCTGCAAAGACCTATAGCTGTGATGAGGCAACCAGAACAGGGCAAACACCAACAGAAAAAAAGCAGTGATTCATTCAGCAAAGAAGACCAATGGAAATAAGTAAGTATTCCTCATCTGAGAAGTGCTAGTGACAGAGAGTGGAGCACTTACCTGACAGACCTTCTCTGGAACAGCGGTCAGGACATTGGAAAGAAGATAGATTATAGGACCAGTACAGATACACACAACAGACCAAGCTCTAGTGGAGAAGCTGACCCCTTTTGAGAAAGAGTAGATGGACCAACAGGGAGTAGTGGCAAGGAGAGAAGTTGCTGGATTGTTTTAAGAGCCAGTGGGAAGTCATAACTAAGTGTTGGATGTGACAGCATATACATGTATTGCATGCAATATAACATTACTAACTATAGTTTAAATGTAAGCAGTTGTATGCAAAAGCTTGTAAATACTGTGTTTTTTTTTTAATAACTGGTAATAATTATTTTGTATCTCAGACAAGCATTAGAGGTAATCTGTCTGAAGAAAGAAATCTATCTAAGGCATAATTTAAATATATTTTACATGAACAGCAAGTTACAGAACAGAAACTATTCTGGTTACTGCTAAATATAAATCCAGCTATCTTTATGGTACATAAGATATATTAAAAATGTTAAAAGTATGTCTAGTGAACTTCTCCTGCTTAAGTGTTTCTGTCTGCTATTTTGAAGACAAATGTTGGCACACCAGTGAAACATTTTTACAGATAACATGTGCAACCACAGTGTTGAATAATTTCCAAATGCGTCTTTTTGTTGGCTGCGGCTTACTTTAGCTACTTACGCTGGACTGTCACAGTGTCTTATAGATGAGGAGACTCCTCCCCCGCAGGTCCTGCTGCACTCTCCCCATATTGACCACGGACCCCAACCCCCATCTATGCTCTGGGGCCAAGTGCCGAAAGGTACGCACTCTCCCTGATAACACCACTGAAAGATTTAACAAAAAAACACAAAATTAGCTTCCAGGCTGACAGAGTTATCAGGACAGAAAAATATAAGGGTCAGGCAATGACCAATTATAGGCATTAGCATTCTCTGTATAGATAACAAGCCTAATATTTTACTTCTTCTAGCCATGTTTAGACATTGGTGAGGGGGTGTGTGATTTGTTAATTGTCTTCACTAAGTCCTGAATTATAGGTCCATAACACACACCAGAAGTTAAAGCAAGCTTAAAATAAGATTTTCTTCTTTCTTCATACATCCTCCTTAAAGGAACTGCAAGTTGCTTACATTCTTTTAAACACTAAGATCCATTTCTAAGATCAGTTTAGTAAAACACCCTCCACTCAGGATTCATGTAGGAGCCTCATTACACAAAATGAAAAATTCCCCTGATGGTATTTTTAAGAAAGTATTCACTTACATTGTAAAAAAGAAAATCTGGACAAGGTTACAATGAAAGAAGAATTTGTTGCAGTACTTCATTTACACTAACCCTATAGACATAATAAAAGTAGTGCCAAACCATTAGACGTGGTACAGAAAACCATTATATAACAGTGACTGGCCACTTCTTCAGCAACAGAATGAGTATGTATACTTGACTCATGCAAACACTTAAAACTTTCCAAAATGATTACTTACAGACTTACTGATTACTTACATCAGACACACAAAATGACAATTTCAACAATTGTCTAACTCTTAAAATAAGTTTATCATTTCATTAGTCAGAAATCTTTTTTAAACCATTCAGAAATAATCCTGAAGCCCACAGACTGATCCACATTTTGGTGTCCACTGCATCACTGAGCATATGCAGTAGCTTGCTTAGACAACCCTTTACCGCTGTTATAGGCTTAGGTGACACAAACAGAGCATAGCCTCAGATCTGCTGTGACCTGAATCTGCACATTTTCCTTCCAAAAGGTGGGCATCTGCTGTTTAACTCCCTTGAATTCCCATAACAGACACAGTATTGACCCTTTCCCAAAAGGAAACACAGACAACTTCTGTGTCCAAAATCAACCATATGAATTTGACAAAAAAAAACTTGAGACATGCACAGAAAACATGGACAGATAGACATATCCCTGTCCACCCAAAAGCACTACTGGAAGACTCAGGGTTGACTTCCTACTAATAGGTACGGCAAAGCCAAGTTTTCTCTTCTCCTGAGCCTTAAGGCTCACCTAAAGCCTTAGTCCCAGCAATGTGAGACATACGTAAACAAGTAAATACAGCCATTCACAATGACCTGAATTACTCTAGATTCTTCTGAAAGTAACTGAAAAGAGAATTTAACTTTTAGTCATTACTCACAGAAAAATAAAAAAAATAATTAATATGAGTTCAATATCAACGAGGATTGTACAGAACATTAAAGAAGAGAATAAAAATCCTTATTTTTTCATTCAAAGTTTCATTTGAGTAGAAGGTACTTCTAGACTGTCAAACATGTCAGTCTAAGTGTGCAGCTCTCAGGCACATTAAAATTATATATGAATATTAAAATGTGTAGCTTATCATCAGCAAATGCACCCAGCTACAACAGTTCTGCACACAAACACACACTACCATTTAATGTATTTCCTTATTATGTCATGTCCTTGTTACTTCCACGTCAGTAAGTGAAACCTGTAGCATTATTTTTCTAGCCACATTCACGCTTTTTTCTTCTATCAAAAGATTTTTATCCTCCATGATCTCTATTCTCTCTGTCAGTACTGTACCTGTTTTAAAACATAGCTGTTATAATCCAGCATATTTCTATTTATAAGCCTCATCCTCTATCAATTAGAGTAACAAAAAACAAACTGCTTTCTACAGAAGAGAGAAAGCAGACTGTCCTAGATCTCAAGTTCAAAATGCATTGCCTTTTCTACCAGGTCTGGCCAGGACAGACTTCTCCTCACAGAAGCCCCTATGGTGCTACATTTCAGGTTTGTGAGCAGTGTGGATAACACAACAATGTTTTAGCGATTGCTGGACAGTGCTTGCACACCACCAAGGCTTTCTTGGCTTCTCAACCTGCCACCCAGAGCTAAGAGCAGGCAAGAGGCTGGGAGGGGTCACAGCAGGGTCAGCTGAGCTAAATTGTCCAAAGGGATATCCCATACCCTATATCATACTCATCAGTAAAACTGGGGGCGGGGTGTTTCCAAAGTAGGCACTGCTCAGAGCCTGGCTGGGCAACAGTCTGCTGGTAGAAGGTAGTGAGTGATTGCCTTTGATCTCTCTTCGCTTTCTCTCTTTTCCATTCACCTATTAAACAGTCTACCTCAGCCTATGAGTTTTGTCACTTTTGCCCTTCTGATTCTCTCCCTCATCCCTGGGTGGGTAGTGAGCGAGTGACTGGGTGGGGGCCCAGATTCTGGATGTGGTCAACCTATCACATCTGTCTTCAGCAAAAAAACAAAGACACAAGGTTTCACGGAGTTCTACTGAGGAAAGGAGGGTTTGTCCTTCTTGGAGCTCTAAATTTACAGATCAGAGGTTTATGCCAATAAGCTGGCATCCATCAGAGGAACGTACCCTTCATACAGAGCTTTGCTTAAATCCAGGTTATCACTGAATGTCTGCATAACACATAAAGCTGTCCATATAGGGAACTTACATTTTTAGCTGGTACAGATATAACCATACAGCAGTGTTTTGCAATGTCTCTAATGGCACAGCTATGATGCAGAATGAAGTACTTGTGTGAAATACACGAGACATCAAAATCTTCTGGTTTTCTTCTCATTACAGTGGTGATTAAGATTTTATTAACTGAAGATAACAGAATGCTGCAAGGAGATTACTGAAGGTGCCACACAAGTACATGAATAGTTATCTAATGCTTAAGTCAAAAGCTAAAAATTAAAATGCTTCCAAGAGTAAAAATGTATGCTAATAATTTAATTTAAAATACATTCTATATTTTACAAACATGTCAAAATCAAAGTTAAGAAATGGAAGACACTCAGAATTGAAGTTAAACCCACAAGAACATCACATACGTAAAAGAGAACACGCAAGCCATCCTTACTCAATACTATTATGACTGCATATAATAGGCAGGTGCATTTTACCTGCTTTATTTTTCCAAAGCTGTGTAAAATCCCTGTACTCAGTAATATCCTCTGTCATGCAAACATTGTCTTCCACATTCCTGTACTGCCCTGTAAAAATCCCTTAAAAGCCCGTTTCTCTCCTTTACTTAAGTTAAATCTAAGGAATTACTGCTAACTTCTGCATCTCTTCCTAATTTTCTAGTGAACTTTTTTTTCCACCAGAAGCCAGTGATGCACAGAATCTCTTGTCAGAGTAATTAAAAATTATCAAAAAGTCTTAATTACTTCTAATGAAATATTACTTCTAATAATTTAGTGATGTAATTATTTCTAATGGGACTACAGTAATATGGTTCCTCCACAAATTACAGCAAACTGATCTGCTATACTGAAGTAAGGTTTATTGAGTAACGAGTATATGAAGAAACAAGAGGAGGTGACAGCTATTTTAAAAGGAATGAAAGGTTTAGAACTGAAATGTTAATTCTTCTCTAACATTGAACAAATAACTTTCAATTAGTTCAACTAGAAATACAGCGGTGATGCTTTTGAATATGTATAAAATGTGTAAAACACACTGTGAATAATGTAAACTGTCTGAAATTTTTCTTCTACAGATCAGTAAAAGTAAAATAAAACCTGATACTGTGGAACATTTGAGATCACTTTTATATGAATATTAGCTGCTTAACAGAACTAAGATTAATAATAGTGTGCTTTTAGAACACACACACCAAGTACTCTAATATTAAGGAAAATTGTTTTCATCTTTTGTAGGGGGAAAAAGATTAATTCAATTTAAATTTGCCATCTCAATTTCAACAATGTGTTTCAGTCATTACTTCTACAATTATTTTGCAAGAAAACTTAACGTCCAATAATAACTTAAATTATCACACATTCTAGCTATCCAAACCATCCTTTCAGCACACTGTGTTTTCACTTTTTGCACATTTGCCCCTCATTTACAGCCCTAGCGTGGATCCAAACAACAATGTTAGAAAAAGTTACTTTTTTCTTACTTGAAATTCAAAGACAAAATAAGCATTCTTGTCAGTTTTGTCTTGTTTTATATGCACCATTTCCTCATCAGAATTTTTTAAAAAGTCTATCAGTTAGTTTACCTTCACAAACACATCTCTGGGTATACCAGAGAGAATCTTCATGTATATTTAAAATTATTATTACAAATTAGGAAAAAGTGTACCTTTTTGAACCCAGCCGATACGTAAAACCCTTCACCAAAGCATGCACATATTAAAGCTCCGAAACAGAACAGATGTACAAGTTCCATCAGTAGCAAGAAACCACTCTATTCTTTTTCCCTGTATGCAGAAAACAGCTGAGTAACTTTTATGGAAAACACTCTAAAAACCTTCAGGCATAGGCAGACATCTACTGTGGAAAATTTCAAACCAAAGAGTTACAAGTTTGGCAGGTTTATATAAGCAATTGAAAGAAGGTTTTATAATAGAGTGTTAGGCCATTTTAATTGTAGAAATCCCTCCCAACTCTGCCAATAAGATATTACTGCACGTTGCACCAAATTTTGCTTTGAGTTAATAGTTACACTGAATTTACATTAGTGTAACTAACAGCAGAAAAGGACCCTCCAAATATGATTAAGTACTCTGAGATCTTGTTAGGTCTTTAGGGCCAGGAACATCATTTATTATATATTTGGACAGAGTCCAGTGAAATAGGGCCTAATTTGTTTGTGGCCTTTAAATGTAACTGCAATATAAATGTAATAGTAATAATAACAATAACACAGTGTTATAGAATTGTAACCTATTATTTTCTCCTCAGTGTGTGGCAAAGAGAACTACGTATTTGGAAAATGCTTGTTGTTTTCTGGTTTTTTGCTATCAGGAACTATTCATTTACAGAAACCTTTGAAGCTTCAGTTTACAGATAGAATTCTATGCTATTAACAGGCATGAAAAGTTTGCCTTTGTACAACAGCAGAGATTCTCTCATCTCTCTCTGAAATCTAAGGATGGAACAAGATACTGATGACTGGAAAAGGTGTTTTGTAGAGAGCAACCTGATTAAAGCCTCCGGCAAGTGGACACAGCAAGTGTCTTAAAGTACCTCAACTTGTTCACTATAGTCTCATGTTTAAAAAATATAAATTAAGGTAAATTGCTCCTTGTCATTGACAAGGAGTGGTGGTTCCAAAATAAACCTAGACTGTTGATTTAAGAGTATGGCTTCTACAATATTCTGTTACTCTAATAAAAGGAAACATTTTTGGTAGAATGCAAAGGTCTCTATTTGCACTGGCTAACTCTAAGTGCTCTATTATTTTAAATGACCCCTTCAATAAATTTATTTAACATAGTTTAACAATATTTCCAAACTCATCACGGAAAAGCCATCAGAACAATGCTAGGTCACGGGCCCTGAATGAAGCCATCAACAAGCACTAATAAACTGTGACAGGTGCCCAAAAGCTTTCATTCTTTCTGTCTAAACATCAGATTACAAGTCAAAATGCAGTGTAATCTTTGTTGAAACTAGCCCAGATAGCATGGCAAAAGTCAGAATGAGAACAGACGTCAGTAGATGGTAGGAAAAAATCCAATCTAGAGCAGCAAATCTTATGGACAGATGCAGCAGCTCTCAGATACCGGAAACTGTTTAATAAAATAAGCTGTCTTCACTTTGTAAAAACTTGCATAAAACATATTATCATGAAAACCTCATATGGAATTAACTTTTTTCCCCCAGTACATCTTCTGCAAACTAATAATTAAAATATTTTTCTCTCCTCATTAAGATCTGTATAGATTTTTTAATTGAGTAACATTCAATTACTATTCTTAATCTAAACCTAAGTTTCAGAACTTTGTCTGAAATATACAGACATTGTTTTAAAAATCAAAATTCACATGTTCAGATACAGAAGCCCTAGACTTATCTGTTGCAACACTGACTTTCTGTACTTTTCTGTTAGGTAGAAGAGTTTATCAGACCGCACAGCAAAGTCCCTTAAAGATAAACAGTCATGTAAGTACAACTAAATAGTAAAAGAACAATTCAAAATCAAATGAAAGATCATGAGGAAATATGGGCTTTTGGAAAACCCTCTTATTAAGGCAACATTTTTTCTATATGTTCGTATGATTCAGCTTACATCTGAAGGAATAAAGTTTCTTTTTTTTTTTTCTAACAAAATAAGAGTTCAGGCTCTAGATCTATGTTATACATTTTCAAAGTCCATGCCAGACTTAGAATTTTAAGTCCTTTATGGTAGAGTGCTGTGAATTTAATAAAGATTAAATTAAAGAGTTTTTACAAAAACTACTCAAAAAATATACAGAGTATGTATCAGGTTGTGGTTTTTTTTGAACCAGGATGTAGAATTTTATAGCGAGGATAAATGCTTCATTATTGAAATAATTCTGTAGGAAACTTCCATTAGGACACAAACATATTCTGAAATAACAACTCTTTTTTTGAACTCTTAAAGTTGCTCATAAGTAATTTAATTTTATAGTTCTTTCTTTCTGTAGCCTTTAAACAATAAATTGTTTCCTCAAACAAGAAGTGATTTGTACTTACCCCCTTTTCAATGCTCCCTGTTTGGCAAAGAGTACCTTCAGCTGCTGGAATGCTGTTGGTAACACAGCGGTTACTTTTGCTGAGGCACCAGAGCTCTCTACACACTTCCTAGGAAAGAAGGCAGAAGCAAGTTGATCAGCATAAAGGCCTAAAATTGCTTCCAGTCCTCATACACACACGTATACACAAATGTTTTTCAACAGAGACTATTAAGAACTGGGCTGGAGAGATAAATCTATAAATGGCTGTGAAATATTCAGGAGCAATTTCAAAGCCACTGTTTTTTATCTAAGAAAAAATCTGTAAGCATCAAATTGTAGACTACAATAATGTATTTTTCACACCTGCCATGCAAGTAATGTTTTATGGTTGCTTTTTCTTGCTTAGTGTTAATATTGGGCCTAGTATATTTTAGTGTTGCTGTAAAAGTAGTCTTCAGATATGCTGTAGTATCTCCATTGCTGTCATTATCTGCCTCAAAATTACATGCTTTTAGGATACTATCAATTTTGAAATATGAAACAGCAACGATTATTTTTGCTTCCTTCAGTTAAAACCAAAGTTTCTGAGCTCAGACTACCTGCACTCTTTTTCTGTAACACAGTGCATGTGTATTTAGTAATAATTGAGCTATGTATTAAAATATTTCCTTCAGGCTTTTTAGATTTGTGGCTGATATTTCATAAATTATTTAGCCTATCTTATTTCTCCATGCTGTCAGTGTTAAACAAACACGGGTTTTCAAATAATCTTTTTTTTCCTATGGTATTTTTTCATTTGGTTTTGCACATTTACGCATTTAAATTAAGCCAGTTCTGTTGACATTGGAGGTTCATTGTTAATACTACCTAAGGGCTGAAATTCATAATGTGGGTGGGCATGATCCAAATTTGTCTGAACACTGGAAATCTTCATAGTTGTTGCAGTTCCCCTCGGATTCAACTATGCATGCAGAATGGAATCAGAAGTGGTTTGCTTTTACAGTAAATGACTTAAATTATGATCTTTGTTGTGTTACTTTGAGATCTGTGCAAGAGTTAACAACTTGCTTACGGATATTTTCTATTTTTAAGTATTTTTTAAAATCTGAAAGACACTTAGATCTTTCAAATGATCTTATGATAGTCATTACCATTTCATTTTATTTAACTGCTGCTTGAGATCATATCCTACAAATAATCCTTGTATAGATGCTATGGCTGAACCTTGGTACAAAGAGCAAAAAGGAAAATACAGGGTGAGTAAACTCAAGTTATTAGGCACCCCTCCCCGCCCTGCCCCCGGCCCAAAGTTCACTGTTTCTCCGAGGTAATTAATGATCATCTGGCACCTAGGTTATCTTTTCTATACATGTCAACAGGAACAACTGTTAAAGTTTTACCCTAAGATTCATGTTTCTTGCATTGTACTGCATATACAAATGGATTCATCTGAACATTACTTACTAGCAGCTACAGTAACAGTTCAACAGTACACGTTCTTCTTGAATAATGCAAAATTCTTTTCCAAGTTTAAAGTCAGCTGGTGCCATTCTTGCAGGATGGTTAATACAGTGTATTTAGTTTCATGATTGGTAGAAGCAAGGTATCTTTTTAAAAATCCTTTAAAAACATACCATATTAGAATGGTCTGAAATGATGAAGAATGAGCACTGATGATTTCTAGAGCTTCCATCCAATTTTTGACAATCAGGCCTAAACTATTTCGTCCTGTTTGGTGGGTGGCTCTATGAAAACTTTAGCAAATTGTTGAGCCTCTTTTTAGGAGAAATATTGCTACTTGTAAAAGCATACCTGCAGCCAATGTGGAACTATCTTACTTTCCAGGTTAAAACTTTTAATTGAAGAAATGCAAAGTGTATCAATATTTACTTAAATCTCTGAACAGAACACTTGCTTTTGCCATTCAGCTGATAAAATTTTAATATTAAAATATGCACTCACAAATAAATATATAGTTTAAAATATCAAATAGAACAGAGAAAGAACAGAAGATGCATCACAAAGATCCTTGAAAAATCTAACTAGATTACACGTTTCACAGCCATTAAGATGCTAAAATTCAACACTAAATCAAATTCACATCTAAATCAACCATGAATCCAAACTTCAATACAGTATGGATTTAAAAGTGAAAACCTAAAATTGGTTCCCTTCAGACACGGTATGAGGTGCTCTTGGGATAATACTGCTTTATTTACTTTTACATTTAATTTACTTGCTCAATTTGTTGAGCAAAATTAGCGTAATTTACTTGCTCATGTTTCATGTGTGGTTTACATTGTCAAATCATAATTAAAATGTCAGACTGTGACAATTCTGCTTATGACTTTGTGCTTATTTTGCATCTGATCAAGTTCAAATGTTTAAATTAGTGGCTATGCTGACTTTGGTTCAATGTTCTAAAAAGCCAAAACTTCAATTGCATTAAGAAATGAAGATTTCAACCATTTCAATATAGACAGAAGTAAATCAGATCTGAATAACTGTATGGAATTTGAAAATATCTGTATTTCAGAGTGATTTGAATCCAGAATTCTGGCTTATGCTCCAGAGTTCACATGCTGAATTTCACTCTTCATATGCCTACACAAGTATACTATATATATACTAACATAAAAGGGGAAGTAATAATTAAAACATGTATTTCATTGCCAGGCTGATGTATCCATCAATGAGAGTATTTATCAATTTCCTTCCAGCAAGATTCTTTCTATATACTCAGGCTTCTTCGTGGCACTAGTCTCCTCCAAATTCCCTGAACAGACACCACCCAAACATTTTCATTCCAAACAAATAATTAGCTGAACTGTGTGAATTAATGGATACAGCACTCCAAAACTATTTTAGTCATTCATCTGTTGCATGCTGAATCTAAGCATGTCAGCTCACCTCCCTACTCTGCAAAGAAATGAGAAAAATATTTTCCTTCTTACTAAATTGCTTTGGGAGACAGAATAAAAAGCACTGTATCAAAAGTAGATATTATTACTGACATAGTCTGGTAGTCCTTATTCAGACCTTAATT